TAAGGCAAAAGTGACGATTTAGTTGGACAAAAATCGAAAATTGCGATGATATTTAATATCAATAAAAATACGTATGAACGTTCCTTAATGTTTGACTAACTAAAGGACAGTATTAGTTATGAAGCAACGTTTTGCATTATATTACTAGAGTACCCGCAGGCGGTAGCCCTGTATTAATTATAGTATGTGTGGATGTAACTTTTTAAAATTATTTTTATATTAAAGAAGGACTTTTTACAAGTAAGTTTTTATTTTTTCATTAGTTTGCGTGTAACACATTTCAAATTGTAGTTATTTAAAAAAAGTTCTATAAAATTAACTACAAAATGATTATTCCGTAGATGATAGTTCCTCGGAGATGATAGTACCTCGGAGTACCCTCATTTGATTTTTATACAAATATTTTTTGATTTGTTTAGAAAGCCCTTACAAAGATTTAGCTGTACCTTTGAAGCACTTTAGGAGTTATTGTATTTTGTTTACAGTTACCAAATAAACTATTCGCATCAGCTGATTGACAAAAAAAAAATACAAAGGCGAAACGATGAATCTACGATGTTTTTATTTGCTAGAAAACCCCCATGTTGTCCAAGGTCAACCTGTACAATATTTTTCTATTACTATTTTTATTTCATGTAAATATCAAAATGTAAGCATCATGTTTGAGATCAAAGTGGATAAAACCATTTTTCGCAGGGTCGGTAAATTTATATTTTATTAATGCTGTTATTTTTACATAAAAAGTTTTAAGCCAGCACCCCAAATCAATTTTATTAGTTAATTTTTGTTAAATTTTGTCCAGCTAAATCGTCACTTTTGCCTTGTGTGCGATCATTTAACAGGCTAATTATCGTGGAGCGTATTAAAGTAAGCCACTACCGATTAATCTTCACCTCTGACTTATAGGAATATAGACCTCTGCAACAAAGCGAGGTGGTGGCAACTTTTCCACTCACGAGTGGTGCGCAGACGAGAATATGCACAAAAGTGACAGCAATACAGCTAACTCTTCTTATATTACGGTAATTTTGGTCTTACACAGAGATCAGACGGTGAGAGGTGCCAAGAGCTGCTGGCTAGGGTCTCACACGGCAATTGGAAGGTTCATTGGGGAGGGCGAGAGAGAGAGAGAGGGAGAGAAAGAGAAAGAATGTGGAGTTTCGTTGCCGAAGTGAGACACCCAAAGTATTCCATATTAGCAACAGTGCAAGAACAGTCTAAAAAAATTAAACTTAATTAAATAGGTTTTCGACTACCAACTACTAGAACCATACTTAGTTATTCGATCGAGCTTCTGTTGTTCGTCGTAGACATTTTGATGAAACGTTCTAAATTAGAGGAGCAGTGTTTTTTTCTTCAATAAGTTGCACTGCTCATTTATCAAAATATCAAAAAGAATCGGTTGATTACCGAAGGGAATAAGTCAGAATTTTTTCGATATGCCAAATTTGATGCAATTCAACAGAGTTCCTTTAAACGAACCGAAATGCATCAAAATTGTCATATCGAACTTATTCCCTTTGGTAATTAACCGATTTAAATCAGTACCATGTTTCTCTAAAAAAAATGTGTAACTATAAACACTGAAAAAAAGTTATATATGTTTGTATGTAAAGTATACAAAACGCAAAAGCAAACTCTAAACTAATACCAACAGCAATAAAATCGCCAACGATCGGAAATAATTATGTGAATGCCGCCAAATGCCTCACCACATAATCAAATCAAAACCAAATGGCCGTCAACAAATGAGATCTCCAAACCGCGCTACATAGCGAAGCAGACGAACAAAACAAAGCCGATTAGGCGAAAACAAAACTACTCTCATATATGTGATTGTAGGTATGCATTTTAACGTTTAAAACAGCAAGAAGCGGTAATAAAAATAATCGCATATCCGGTGCTCCCGGATTCTCACAATCAAACGCTACAAATCACACCGCCACCGATCTAACGCATATGTACAATACATAAATGCAAACACTGACAAAAATTCCCTACAGCAATTCAGACTCACCCTAGGTTAGCCCTCAGATAGTCCCGCTAGTTACCAGCACTAGTCCCTCATAATTCCCATGCCAATGGTTTCAACTGCCAGTTTTAGCATTGGCGTGTCATTGGAAAAGGACCGGTCCAAACAAAACTGACCGTAAGATAGTCCTGGACTATTCCAATCGTAAGTAAGACTGCGTTCTGCACTTCACAGATGCTTTTTCGTATTTCTGAAACACAAACAAAAATTATCATTTTATAACCATGTTGCCTCTGACGGCATTTGAACTCGGACCACCTGAAAGCTAACAAATATTGGCAAGCATCTCTGCGCACTGAGCTACAGCCACGCATGTAAATGTGTGTTCAAATGTTCACTTTGAATCAAGGCCAGACCAAGCGATTGGGACATTTATAGGGTGGTGTTCTTTAAAATTTTTTATTGAATTGTATTTTTGTCTGTCTCTAGACCGAATCCTTGGGGACTGGTCGAAAGCTGACATTTTCGATGCAAGCGAATGTCCAATTCTGACCAGTCAAATTTTAACCAGTGAAGTACTGGACCTTTACAGAAAATTGGCCGCCTTATTGCTGCAGGGTTATTTTGGCGGAAGTTTACGATCAAAACAAAAGAGAAAGAGCGGAATTGTACATGGAAAAATACATCAAATTTTTAGCGAAAGACAAACAAGCATGAAGCTCGCGACAAATCTTTTCCAAGCTCCATTGAATAACAAAAAACCAAAGCGTAAACGTTCATTGATGATCCCATAAAATTCTTTGCCTTCCTAAATTTCAAATACAAACAAAGTACACACACGGTCACTTTAATAGCGCATCTGAAAAATTTACCGGGATCTAAAACACAAGCGGCAAGTAAGTAGACCCAAGGGAGCAACCGCTTTTATTTAGCCGCACAAACACCAACTGTAACAAAATCTAAGATTTCATAAAACTACTATTGCACTTATTCCCTAAGGGTCAGTTTTTCAGTGCATAGCTATGGTTCAAATTTAGTTTAAATGCTCAAGCTGGCTGGCTTAAACCAAGATTAGCCTATAAATGTCAGCCGTTCACGATAAACGCAGCTGTTCACGATAAACGCAGTTTGCGTGATCTAAGTCTAAACTTGCACTAAAAACAGGCCCTTAGAAAGCCGGGAAATGTTACGCGGAGATGGTGTATACTAGAGTTGTGAACTTTAGTTATTTTGAGTGAACCGTTCAGTAGTAGTTCGTTCACCTTAGTGAACTATTTCTTTAGTTCACATAGTTCATTTGGTTCTATTGACGAATACATTTATGTTATTTTTAACAGGGACTTTAATCATTATGAGTAAAATAAGTTAAATCAGCATTTAATCATTATTTTATGAATTTTATTTTTTCGCTTAAAAATAATATTTATTATTGACTTTTATTATTATTTTTTTATTTATTACTTTTTCTTAATGAAAACACATTTTTACAATAGATTCTTTGCTCTCCTGAAAAGCACCGATTTTCACATTCGATAGTTTAACATGGCAGCGACGATATTTACAGATATCTGGTATATAGGGTCTTTGTTTTGGCATTTCAGTCATGCTTCCGTTCGAATAACCTACGCCAGGAAACTTGATGCATTGCTAGTTTGACCTTCATACCCACTTGACCTTAACAGAACGATAAATGGTTGAGTTGGCTAGTCCATCAGCTGCCTGAGTGAAATATATAAGCTGTTTGAGTCAAATCTATCAGGAATCCGAGTCAAGCATAGCAGCTGTTTGAGTCAATTCTATCCGCAGTTTGAGTCAAGTATATCATCTTTCTGATTCAAGTCTATTAGCTGTCTGAATCAAGCCCATAAGCTGTCTGATTCGAGTTATCAGCTGGTTTAGTCAAATCCATGATAAAAATATAGGAAGGTAGAACCGCTGAGAGGAACTTTTCAAATTCTTGACGTTTGCAACCAATTTAATTTTAAAATTTTACACACAAACTCACACACACATTTTCATTTTCAATCTCAAACAACAGCAACTTTGAACAATTCCCTTTTTTTACTCTCAATTTTATATGATTTTAAAATGTTGGCAATCTTCAAAAAAAAAATCATGGCCGACGAATTGAGAGAACGCCTTTACCCTACTATGTTTTTATCATGGTCAAATCTATCATCTTACTGTATCAAGTCTATTAACTGTTTGATTTCAACGTTTTAACTCAAACTACTTTCCGAAAATAAAATCATAAAATCTAATCTTTTGTAGACCAAAGAAATACTACTTTATTAAAGGTTTTGACAGAGTTTTCTTCTGAATGTTTTAAGTTAAGTTTAAATTGTTATTTTTATTTACATGCCCAATGTTCACTATGATCCTTTATGCATTACTTATTAACCAACTCAGTTATCAGTTTGTCGGAATATTTATTTATGTATGTTACCGCATATCTTTGGACCACGTCAACCGATTTCGATAATTCTTTTGGCATCGGAAAGGTAGTGTTTCAGAGGTGGTCCCGTACAAATGGTTTAGATCCGATCATTGGATCATGAAAAAAATAACGGTACCCTAAATTTTTTTTATGAGAATTAAAGTCGGTTTTGTTTTTTGCTTAAAACTTACTTGCTTTCATGAACACTTCTGTTTTTATTATGTAAGTAATTAATTTTTTTAACACAACTTTACTGGAGTTGAAAAGTCGACATGCTGACAGCGCATTTTTGATCCACAAGTAGTTTCAAACACCCCTACCAATTGATGATTGACGTTTCGGATGGCACAAGGAAGTAACTTTTGCAAAAAAAACTAAAAACTTCAACAAATTTCAAGTGGTTTTCTTGGGAAACCGCATTCCAATTACAAAGCGTATGCTCGGAACCTTTGTACTGTATAGTATTTTTCACTTGTTCATCGTTTTATGGC